GAGATTCAACCCACAACTACACTTGTGCCTCTTGCACTGGCAGGGGGATTCTTTACCACTGTGCCATTTGGGAAGCTCGTATTTCTACTACATAATAGTTTCATGTAGCTTTCTCTCTCATAGTGGTTTTGTTGCTCTACTTTCTGGAGTTACTGGCCCTGTGCACTACTCAATATTAAGGTTCTACAATAATGAAGCACAACAAAGTATCAACCCCACAGTTTTATTTGTAAAGAACAAAGCATGAAAAGTCATATTTAAATGTACTCCAAAACCTGAAAAACCCACATCAGTTTCTCTGATACATATGTTAAAGTGCTTGATATCACAATACTTTTTAAATTTTAATTATGTTCAGATGAGAAAAAAATCCAGTTCTGATGCATTTTGTTAACAATACAAAGAAAAAAAAATATAATTTAAATGCAGAAATGCCTATTTAAAAAAAAGATACACAGGATACATTTATACATGGTTCAAGTGTAACACAGAGAATTCTTTCTATATGTTTAACACCCTCATTTGATTGACAACAGGAACTCTCACCATACCTCTCTACTGTTAACAAGATCTGTCTGGTGTCTGGAATAAAGACTGGGCCACACACAAATACATTTAGGTAAATATGTCAAGCATAATTCCCTCCCACATAACCCAAGGATACCCTGGATTCATTCAAATGAGGAGAATGTTTTTGATGATTTTTTTCACTCTGATATTAATTGCTCAGTGTGATACCTTTCTGGATCCAATCTTTATTTTGTCCTTGAGGACAATCAGGTCTGCTAAGATCTGAAAGGATGAGGTTCTCCTTGGATTATTCTGATCACACTCCATTGGTACCCTCCTTCAAAAAGCTTGGAAATCAGTTGGATTCAAGAGTTGTTTTTTTGTTTAATTCAAGAGTTTTATAAATGGATTTTAATAGGAATAAGAGACCTAGTAGTTTATTATTTGTTTCTCCTTTTACACTAAAAGGTAATATAACAAATACTTATACAAGAAACACGGACTTCAAATGACATGGATGACATGGAAATAGAATTCACTTTATAAAAGTAGAGAAGATCTCAAGACTCCATTCTCAATCAATGAAGGTGTATTAATACTGAAATATAAATAGCTACAGTTCAGATTGTCCTTCCAAATGGTGAAAAAGATAGACTAGTTTCTATAAACCTCACAGAGAAAATACTCAACAGTTCTCAAAATGAAAATCTACTGAAAAATCATAATTCTTAGCAGAAAGAAGCTATTTTATAATTAACAGCTACACTCCCAGTGCTGTCAAATAAATATTTCCCTGGGCAATCTGAGGTCCTTGTCTGTTGCCTCATGTTTCAGAGTATCTCAGAGGGTTAGCATTCACTATACACAAACTGTTATGTGTAGTCTCCATCCCTCTTCCACTTCCATTTACATACAACAGTGCTTTATTGCGAAAAAAGGAAATATGAGCAATCAGTATTTCCCCTGTATATTCATACAGTGTGACAGAAGTTCATTAAAATGATTTCTTAAAAAGCCATGTTAAAGTAAATACCACAGGGTTACAAAAGGTACAAAGTGTATGAAATATTTAAAATAAAATTTAGAGGGAAATCATAAATTTTGCAAGCTTTCGGTTTCTTCTATCAAATTCTTGCCACAGTGGGAAAGAGGAAGGGAAGGTTGGGAGGCCTTCCTTTTGTTCTCAGTAGCCCCATTTTCTCCACTGAGAACCCTACTTTATTCTACTCCACACTGAGCCTCAGTCATTTTAAGGTGCAGATGAGCCCCCAAACAGAACACAGCTTCAGGGTCTCACACATAATACCAACACTGGTGTAATACCACTATATCAAAAAGGTTAAGTATTTCAAGACGTAACATTTTTGGCAATTTAATATTAAAATAATTTCTTCTTAAGCTATTTTGTGAAAATACTAATCATGACTCCAGAGGCACAACTTTTTAATTTATTTTGAAGAAAAAAGTCAGATTTGATTTTTGTATACTTTAACTCTGAAGTATGATGATATAGCAATATACTAATTTATTAACAGCAAAAAGTATACCTCTGAGTGACTTTCCAAAGTCAGGTCGGAAGGCTATGTATACTTATATGTACATTTATTCTAAGAGTTCTGCTGTTGTCCTGCTCAAAATAATTTGATACTCAAAGACAGTTATAAGCCATGTTAAGAATTGTCTTACTTCTTTAGAACTGTATTTCTTACATGACCCCAAACTCTGCTTAAGTATCCTTTTCATTCATCAACTTGGGTTCTAAGAACTTTTTGTTGTTTCCAAATATTAAATTTTTTCTGAAAAGCCACCATTACCCATCACTAGAAATACTCAAAAGAATGGGCTATAGGGCATTCGGGCAGCTCTTAAGGAGGTCCCCAGGGGTCTGGAGCACTGGCTTTATTACTGGACTGTATATGGACTTTCAAGGTGCTAACTCTAAAGGGCACAGCATTCTAGAGGATGTGTCCATTCTGGTGTGATTTCTTCTTCTGCAACTGGTCATTTCACTACTATAGTCAGATAATAGAAAATGGGATGAAACTTCAGGTCAAACTCTTGGAGGGTATTACTTTCTAAAGTAATGGTTTTACTCACAGGTCTGATATCCAATTTTACTACTAGTTTTGTTTTTGGCTGTGCCATAAGGCATGTGAGATTTTAGTTCCCTGACCAGGGATCAAACCCCGGTCCTCAGCAGTAAAAGTGTGGAATCCTAACCACTGGACTGCCAGGGAATTCCTGCTCCTACTTTTTATAACAGGTGTAATTTTCTATAACTTAAGGACAATTTGTTTAAGTGAATATTAATCCCTATAAATTATTACTATAAATGAATATTAATCATTATCTGCTACCTATATTCGTGGATGAATTAAGATCCAAGGGTAGAAAGACTTAATATGAATGCCTTGAAGGCCAGTCTCATGTAGCCTGGTATAATTAAAAAAACATGAATTCTATACCCTGTGTTGTCACTGACCAGGTGTGCAGGTAAGTATTTAATCTCTCTGATCCTTAAGTCTTCCCATCTGTAAAATGAGAAGGCTAAATGAGATGACTTAATTCTAGCATGCTAACCTAAGTCACCTCTCTGTTTGCCCAGAATGTGTCAGAAGCAAGGCCTTTGGAAAAGGTAACAAAAACAAAACCCTAGATTGGATCATTCTATGGTTTCTCATCATTGAAACAGTAAGCACCTGGTGTGAAACAGGTTCTGGATATGTCCCATAATACTCTCTCCATGTCCCAGGGGTAGCCACACCACTGTGGACAAACTTTAGCTGCAGGCAAACACATTTCTGGTCTACCCAGGTCACCCAGAACCATCTTAAACCCTTTCCATGGGTTTCTAAATGCTGCCTTCAGTTCTCCCTTACCTCCTCAAGGACTCAGTCACACATTAAAAGGGAGTGTGCCTTGGCTGAATACAGTGTTTGATAACGGGAGTGGGGCACTTAATTCACTAGCTTCTTCCTCAAGAGAAAAAGGGAAGCAACACTATTGGCTAAAGCCCAGGACCCTCAGATGACACAAGGTCCTGAGAGGCCGTGACTTTGCTTCTCAGTCACAATTGGGAATAACCTGGAGCTCTGCTAAGGCAATTTCACTGCTAACAACGTGCAAATGTCTCAATTACTTACAAGACCAACTGTAACATGAAGACTTATGGTAACGTACTAACACTGTATTTAACTTCCTTAAAAAACACCAAATTGGAAAGTTACTCACAACGTTTGGTCTTCCAAACTGTTGCCTCAAGTTTTGCTTCCATTTTGCCAGTCTGCGTAATACTTTTACCTTCCTGGGCCAGCAGTATTACATTTTCACCCCTGCTTACAAAGGAACACAGCTGGCCCTGAAACACCCAGAAAGGGTTCATTCTTTCTCTCTTCTTCTGGTATTTGCATTATCATGGTCAACAAATACTTTCACAAAAACATTCCAAGCCACACAGAGTCCTCCTCCTTCTTAGACATTCTTTCCATTTCCTGAGGGGGGATGGGCACTGGAAGAGGGGAGGCGGGTGATTGGAACCAAACAAAGACAGTGTTTGTGGTTATTCTTGAGGGGGTAAGGGACCAATGCAGGGTTGAGATGGCCAATTAAAAGTACAGAATCAAAATGCTGTTTGCAGTTTTTAAGACTGAGGCCAACACTCTGAAATTCACATCTCCCCAAAGTACCTCAAATAACAGGAATAAAAATGTCAAAAGATGAAGTTAGTCTAGGCTAATCTTTCCAAAGTGTAAAGAAGTTAATATAATCCCACAATTTCATATGCTTCTCAGGGCTTTGTGTGTTCTCTTTTCAGTTCAGCCAAGCTCCTGGGGTCCAGTATTTAAAATATTTGAATTATATCTTTATCTTGTGCTGATGAAAAAATTTTTCCAAAAGACTTGGAAGAGTGGCTCAATTCAAATTAGGAAACCATCTGAAACTTAAAAGATGTAAATGAGGGCTACTCTCCCCTACAGTAGGTAAACTGTTTACATTCACAATATAAAGGGTAACACACCAGGATGGCTGGTGAGTACATAACAATGCTTTCTGGATTCCTTTGTGGTACCTGGAGGAAAATAAAAAGCCCCAATGGGTTGTACTATATTTACATGTTTACTGGCTTCTTCCTGACTAGCACCACTCTCCCCACTACCCAACTCCCAATACTTTTAAGCTACTGATTTTAAGTTACAGGAGTATTCAATCTAAGAAAAGTCTTATTAGAGTAATAGAATTTCTTAAAGAAGAGAGCATATTTACACACATCTAACACATGAAAATACTCTATTTTATACTAAATTCCAGGTTCAAATGAACTACAATACAGCATTTTGCCTTGTCTGCAGTATGAGGACTGTTCACATTGGGGGACACGCCGTGCCGCCCCTGCAGTGACTCACTGCCTTGTCAGACAAGTCCAAATCCGTCCCCATTGTCGGGGAAGGTTCAGGAACAAGGGTTCTGGACTGAGTTTCTAGCTAATTGGGTTACACATCCACTCCTTTGATGAGTGAGCCTTCTAAGACTATGGTGAAGTCCTGAATGGTCTGCAGAATGCGGATGAGGGAGTTGACCGTCATGTGATCTCGAAGGAGGGCACTCTCCTCATACATTCGGGTGATGGCAGGACACTCGGCTAACAGAGGAATCCACTGTGGGAGCAGGCGATCTCTGCAGACGCAAACAGAAACAAGTCCTGAGCACTGCTGCCCTGCTGCAGAACTACACACACACTGGAGCTGTGGACAGGAAGGTGAGAGGCTGAATGGGGCGAAATCTAGCCAAGCTCTGAGGTCACCAGAGAGAAAATCAAAGTCAAGTAGTTGGATATTACTGGTTAAAAAGATAATGAAACAGTGTACGCTAAGGGGGAAAGGAAACCCATCAGATTCTAAGAGTGAGTCTGTACAAATTGGCCATAAAGACTTAGATGTGGTAAAGATATTCTCTATTCTGATTCTACCTCTTTTAAAAAGAAGCAGAACGTCATTTTGTATTGTTTAACATAGATGTTATCCAGACATCTGTGACAAGTCATGCCAAAGTAGACCTTTTGGGAAGAAAAGACTCCATTAAATTGTAGGGACTAGCACTTAAAAAAAAATTTTTACACAACATAAAAATGTAAGGAACAAAATCAAAGCAGAAAAACATTAAGTAGGTCTTATAAACCAAAAGAAGTGTTGCATTGATCTAATAAATCAAAACAGTAAAGAGAGAAAAGGAGATAGGATCATGCTCAAAAGGAACTTAAAAAGCACAGCTGAAGTTGGACGGCTTTTATTAAGAAGAAATATAGAATTTAGCTCAATAAACCAGCTGTTTCAGGAGGACAGGATCTCAATCTTTGACGTTTCCTGATTAAACTGACATTAGTATCTGTCACTAAGTTGCTTAGACACCCTTGCTGAGCAGCTCTCAGTACACCTTCATGACAAGGCAGCTAGGCCATCCTACAAGAGGTGTTGGGGCTTAGAAGAAAACAAGCATTGCACAGATAAAAAATCTTCTAAGGATCTGTGTGGTTCATTTCTTACAATTCTGAGAGCTGTTTTAAAATTAATGGATTGTATAGCTCCTATGTGTCATTTTACAAAAAGAAAGGGGTAGAAAACTTAAAGAGACATTCCATGGTAAGACTTCTACAATGTCATCAAATTTAAAGCAATTTGGTAGTGTATACACACTATACAAGCTCTATACAGAAAATATGTATGTGTGAATATGCTGGTGTGTCTAATTACCTCCACCTGTCTATGGCGCAGTACTGTGTCATGGTTCAGAGCTTGGGGCTCTGGGGTGAGACTGGGTGTAAATCTTGGCTCTGCCTCTTTCTAGCTGTGTGACCTTGGGAAAGTCTGTTAACTTACCTGTGCCTCTTCTACTTTATTTTCTCACCTATAGAGTGGGGATACTGCTTGCTACTTCATGCAGGGGTGATGGTGAAGTGATAGGAGGGTGAAATGAGATAATACATGTGAAGTACTAAGCATAGTGCCCAACACACAGCAAACACCCAATATACAGGAGTCTCATAAAACTTGGAATAGAGGAAATCAACCAGAGAGCTTTGGAAGGGGCATGGTCTGGTATAAACCTTTCTAAATTCTTGTTCAACACATGACAAAGACAGGGAAAGTCAAGAACTGGCTTAATACCGTGTTCCAAGGCAAACTAAGATTTGGAATTTGCCATCCTTCCCAATATTCCGTGGTGCAGTATTGATAGCATTTACATAGTGACAGAAGGTTTTGCAGGATGATTTCTGAATGAGGACATCATCTTCATTATCTAGAATCTGGTCAGTGGTTTCAAAATAAGCAACTGCTCTCTCTGGGGAAGGAAATCAAAAGCATATCACAATACACATTAATATTTCATACACAAAAAGAGGAAACAATTTATTCTGGAAATACTAATGATTCTTTGCATTATAGCCAATCCTAAAACCAAAACCATTATTTTATCATTGGTTTCACAATAAATCCTAAAGGCCCATGTTTCCTGGTAGAACAATATGCTCCCAGGAATTTATTTTCTAATCTAGACTACACTCTACATGGTTGGAAAGCTTACTTTCTTTAGAATACCTTCAAAAATGGCAACTGATAGCAAAGAAAAAAATAAACATGGTCTTGTCTGTTAAGACTGGATCCTTCTAGGAGGAAGTAGCAAAGACATGGTAGCCATTGAGGTGGAGCCCTTTGATCCAGTTATAAAATGACTGGCTAACACTTTACAGCAAAATCCTTGAAAGAGAACGTCAGTAAATCTGAGGAAGAGTTATTAATATACATATCAGAAGCAGGACTAGTAAGATTCAGTGCATTCCAAAAGAAAAAAAAAAAAACCCAATCTAGGGGCCTAGCTCTGTCCACTTTCCTTTCTTTGTCTAAAAGTTCAAATTTGGATAAAACCAACTACTTCATTCAGGTCTTATTTATAAAACATGAAACGATTAATCACTCTGTTAAAGAGACTGTGAATTGTACAAGAGCTGCATAGCAAAATAAAGAATACAAAGTTTACGGAGCTAGAGAACCACATTCTAATCAAACTTTCCTGAAGATGGAAACATTCTATATCTGCAAGGTCCAATTCTATAGCCCCTTGTAGGGCCAGTATGACTAAGGGAGTAAATTTAACATTTGGAAAATACCCTGATGCTGGGAGGGATTTGGGGCAGGAGGAGAAGGGGATGACAGAGGATGAGATGGCTAGATGGCATCACGGACTCGATGGACATGAGTCTGAGTAAACTCCGGGAGTTGGTGATGGACAGGGGGGCCTGGCATGCTGTGATTCATGGAGTCGCAAAGAGTCAGACACGACTGAGTGACTGAACTGAACTGAATTGAATCTAAATAGCCACATGTAGCTAGTGGTTGCCATACTGGATAGCACAGAACTAGAGTAATTTTTTTTTTTTTTTTTTAAGAATATCAAAGCAACTTTTAAATGAATTTTGTCAACAGACATCAGAACTTCTAAAGTTACATGAAAGAAGTATCCTCACCTTGTTCAACTGAGTAATTCTTTTTTTTTCTTTCATTTATTTTCATTAGTTGGAGGCTAATCACTTTACAATATTGCAGTGGTCTTCGTCATACATTGACATGCATCAGCCATGGAGTTACATGTATTCCCCATCCCGATCCCCCCTCCCACCTCCCTCTCCACCCGATCCCTCTGGGTCTTCCCAGTGCACCAGGTCCGAGCACTTGTCTCATGCATCCAGCCTGGGCTGGTGATCTGTTTCACCCTAGATAATATACATGTTTTGATGCTGTTCTCTTGAAACATCCCACCCTCGCCTTCTCCCACAGAGTCAAAAAGTCTGTTCTATACATCTGTGTCTCTTTTTCTGTTTTGCATATAGGGTTATCGTTACCATCTTTCTAAATTCCATAGAGTAATCTTTTTTTAAAAAACACAAATTATATCATATTCCTCAGCTCCCTGGTAGCTCAGACAGTAAAGAGTACACCTGTAATGCGGGAGACCTGGGTTTGAACCCTGGGTTGGGAAGATCCCCTAGAGAAGGGCATGGCAACCCACTCGAGTATACTTGCCTGGAGAGTCCAATCCCCATGGAGAGAGAAGCCTGGTGGGCTACAGTCCATGGGGTCGCAAAGGAGTTGAACACGCCTGAGTGACTAATCACACCTTAGCTCCAAGTCTTCCCATTCCGCTCAGGATAAAGACCAACTGCTTCCAAAGACCTAGAAGGCCCTCCACAACCTGGCTCTGCAATAAAAATCCTCTCTCCAGATACCCACCCTCTCTCCCTCGGTCTGTTCCAGTCACACTCACCTTGATGCTCTACAGAAAGCCAAGCACAGCGCCACCCTGCTCTGCCAGGGCACTTGTCTCAGCCTGGCATTCACAAGGCTCAGTTCCTCACATGTCTGCTCAACATTACCTTATCAACAAGGTCTATGACCTTCCTAATTAAAAGAGTACTCCCACTCTGTTTCCTTTTGCCTTGCTCCATTTTTGTCAGCATCAATGATGACCTTCCAACATATCAGATAAATTACATATCTGTTATGATTTTGTGTATTGTTTGCCCTCCTGACCCCACAAAGATTCTAAGTTTGTCAACCATAGGAATTTCTGTGTCTTGTTTACTTTTAACTTGAAGTGTATACCTTGAGCATCTAAAATAGTTTAGAATATTGTGAACACACACACACACACACACAGATATATTTGTTGACTGAATGAAAAGCACAGACACTGCTTATTTGATATTTACTTTGAAAAACATATACCCTTATCACTAACCCTTATTTGCTCAAATTCTTGGGTTTTATGAGTTTTCTAAGACACATTTCAATGACCTCACAACAATCTACACCAGCTTTAATTTACCTATGAAGTCCCAGATGAAGACATTCTTGTGAAAGATGCGAGCTGATTTGAAGCCATGGTGGAAAACTTGCTCAAGTGCTGCAACTAAGCCACTCTCTCCACACAGTAACACAGTGAGGCTTCCTCTCTGTGAAGAGTAACACACAGTGCCCGAGAATAAGCTCCTGCGTTGATGTTTAAGAAAAACAGTAGAGGAACAAGTGCTGAGGGTAGCTATGAGGCATGTTTTTGCAGCTATTAGGAAGCTTGAAAATTAAAGAACCTTTTTATTGCCTTATGTATCATGTATAAAAGCAGCTTTAAAATCCTACCATATTAAGTTTTATAGCCCATCATACCTCTTTTTCAGGTTTGTGAAAATGTTTCACAATGTTGTTCACAGCTTCTCCAATTCCTTCTTGGATCTGTCCTGCATTGGGTTCTAAAAAATAATGAATGGCAGAAATTTCAGGCAAGGAAAATAAACCAAGTACTACAGGACATCAACTGTGCCTGCCTGTGCAGGAAACACTTCACCAGGGCAGGCTGCCTTGTCAGGGTTCCATGAAACCTGCCTTGCCAGTTTGGTAAAATGAGGCATATTGGCAGAATGGAAAAGAATCTAAGAAACCCCCAAGACTCAAATCCCAGCCTTACCACTCAAAATCTATAACTATAGTCACCAATTTTAAGTATGTAATTTGATGAGTTTTGGCAGATGTATAGACATGTAACCACTGTAATCAAAATACAGAAAATTTCCATCAACCCCAAAAGTTCCACTGTTCCCCTTTTCAGTCAATTCCCTTTCCCAGCTTGTAACCTCATAACCCCTGTCAACTACTGATCTGCTTTCCATCATTATTATATTGCCTTTTCTATAATTTAATAAATAGAATTGTATAATGTCTGCTTTCTCTTACCTGGCACAATACTTTTGATTCATCCATGATGTCAGCTATATAAACAGTATTGCTGAATAGTATCCCACTGACTAGATATATCACTATCTGCAGCTGGTGGATATTGCGGGTGTTTCCATTCTGGCTATTATGAATAAAGCTGCTTGCAAAATTTGAGTATGAGTCTTGGTATAGCTATATGCATTCATTTCTCTAGGATACAGACATCTAGTTTGAGATTTCTGGGTGAAGTGTATGGTTAGTACATGTATGTATCTTTATAAGAAATTGCCAAATGGTTTTTCCTTTTGCATTCTGATTATAATATATGTGTATTCACTGTTGTCTATCCTCTTTTTAGCTATTCTAGTGTATGTGTGGTATTAAGTTTACTTCTGGAGGCAGAAAAGAATTATGGATTAAGGGGATCATTTATTAAAGAATAAGGGAGATTGTTAAAGACTATATCATTCTAATAGTTAATCTATCACTATATGCTAACAAATGGATATAGAATAATAATATCTAAGGAAATTGCTTTGTTAACTAAGGACCTCTTAGGTACCTCTTATTAATAAGGTACCTCCAATAACTCATGGTTATTGTCTATGAACTGAAATAAAACCACTTCACTGTCTCTTTAGTCTTCTGTGGATCCTGTAATAGATGACCACAAATTTAGTAACTTAAAAAAAGGAGAAATTTCTTCTCTCACAATTCCAGAGGGAGAAGTCAGAAATCAGCATCACCGGGGAGCAGTCAAGCTGTGGACAGGGCTGTGCTTCCTCAGGAGGCTCAATGGAAGAAGCTGCTCCTTCCCTCTTCAAGCCCAGGTGGCGTTGCTTGGCTTGTGCCCTCATCACTCCAGTCTCTGCCTCCATCTCTCTATTGTCTTCTCTGTGTGTCTGATTTCCTTTTGCCTCTCTTATAGCAATACATGTAATTGCACTTAGGGTCCACCTGGATAACCCAGATAATTTCCCTATCTCAAGATCCTTAACTTATATTTGCAAAGGTTCTTTTTCCAAATAAAGTAACATTTACATATCTCAGGGATTAAAATTTGATACCCTTGAGAGACTAAAGACCACATTAGTATAAACTAGAAGTTTATTGTGCTATTAAAAATGGCATGTGAACACAGAATCCTATCTGTACAAGTCATTTTTTTATGTACTTTGTCACTTCTATAGGAAGTTTGGGGGTGGGTTGGAGGGTGGAATTTTTAAAATTCCCCTTAGAAAAAAGGGCTTTGGATAACTAGATATGAGAGTACTATAACTGTCCTTATTCTTCCTTGAAGTTTCAGGCAAAATATTATTTATTCATACTTTCATAGCATAACTAAAACAGAGCAGGTGGTTTTTTAAATTGGATTTTAACATCTAAATTCTTCAGGCTTTTAATTATTTGTAATTATCTTGCCTTATTTCCCCCCTTTTCTCTCTCCACTCTAAAGTCTTTCTCACAAATTAATTTTCCTCAGCTTTCTTTTTAATCTCCTTACCATAATTCATTTAACACAACAGTTTTCTATGAAATGGCCACATGATGCCTAAAACATCTAAGACACATTGGAAAATAAAAAAACAACGAATTACTGCTAGTTTTTCCTGTCAGTGATGTGATGCTCAGTCTCCTGGCCACAGTGGGTGATTTCTGCTGGGGTGGAGTCCGACACTGCTTTACTAGATCCTCATCGGCTGCTGATGTCATCAATTCTCCAATAAGAATTCTCTCCAGACTTCCATCATCAATGCCTTTTCCCAGCCACCGCCCGCATGGGAACCTAGTGGGACAGAAATAAACTTCAGAATCGCCAATATTTCACTCGCTTTAATCAGAACTTTTAAATGGCACCAAGGGTGAAACCCATTATTTGAGTGGGTGATCAGCCTGTGGGTGATTTTTTTCATTATGAAAAATTGCAAACACTTAAAAAAGAAGACAAAAAAATAGACACCCATGTTCTTATGACTTAGATATTAACATTCTCCCATATGCTTCATTTTTGTTTTTTGTTAAAAGTATTTTAAAGTAAATTACACACATCAGGACATTTTACTAATTATTTCAGTGAATTTCTGAAAAATAAATTCTCTTGTATAGCCATAAATTATTATCAAATTAAAGTAACTTTTAAATATTTTCTCATACATCGATATCAAAATTCTGTAGTTAGTTTCAACAGGAATATCTTCAAACTAGATATTAATTGGGAGTTAAGTTCCAGGAAAAAAAAGGAGAATGTTCTCAAAGAGGAGTGCTGGCTGCAGAGGAGTGCAGGAGTGTCCAAAAGAGCCTTTTGTCTTACTGACATTATTTTAAGCTTCTTTTTTTTTTATCAGAGTTCCAATCTTTTTCAACATTGTGGACTAAATGTTAGCAGCAAACACAATCAGTCTTTTTGAGAAGTATTTTGTGGGTAATTTTGTATTTGGAACAAAATAACATAACTTTGTTGTTACACAAACAAGACAACCCAAAAAACTAAAGTAAAATGCAAAAGGCAGTGGGAAGGCTTTAGAATGAAAATAATTCTCAAACTTTTTCTTGTCTAAAAATATTAAAACAAATCTGAACTCCCAAGGACATTTACTTACCTATATGTATGTCCTGTGATTTCATTTCTGACCATGACACAATCCACTAGCCATTTGGCTAACAGTCCTGAGTTATCGTGACCAATCTGGACAGTCGTCAGCTTCCCCAGGTTCTGGCACTGTAGGGACAGGACCACAGGGTACTCAGTTCCTGATCTTTTCCTGCCACCTCTCAGCTTTAGGGTTGGTTCCAAACAATTTACAAGTGCAGGGGACTCTGCGTAATGTATTCTCCCGTGCACTAGAGAAAAATATCCAAATAGATCCCTTCTAATGAGACAGGAGACATTGAACATTATTTTTTTTTTCCATTTATTTTTATTTGTTGGTTAGGAACATTATTAAATGAGAGGGATGACACAAGGTCTGACAGTAGATATGTAAACAGGTGCTTGAAGAACACTTGGAAAGGAACAATGATTTCCAACTGGAGAATTGAGAAACATTGAGTCAGTAGATTTGTTCCTTTGAAGGATGAGAAGAATTCCAAAAAATGGGAAAGGATGCTATTTAGATTTAGTTATAGAGAGGTCAGAAAAATAATTATAGACATAAAAAATCACCAAGTTTTCCTGCTTTAATAAATACTAAGGTAGAACTGACCTCAAACATTATCTAGAAGTCTCTGAAGCTACTGTTAAAAAAAAAAAAAGCATAGTTATCAGCATCGTTCCTGACCCTTTGTGCATAAGTACAAAAGAAAGTGATGATAATAGAAATGGTAAAAATATATGTCAACAAAATTCTGACTTAGAAATTCTGATGAAAGATCACAGACCCCAACTGACTATGTATAGTTGGGAACCTCAAAGCTATGAGTTCTCAAAGCACTTGACATCTTTGAATTACAGTGATCTAGGTGATGGAGGAGGGCATCTTGAATTAGTTGTGGCAGCAGAGATGGAAAGAATCAGGCAGATGTGAGAGTCTGGAAACAGCAATGATGGAACTTATGATGCAGTTTATGCTCTGTACTTGGTAGTCAAAGAAAAGCCAAGGATTTTAATCTTTTATATACGGATAGCTGTGAGCCCACTGGATAGATAGTGTCAAAATAAGCTCTTGGGCAGTGTCATGACTCTGAGTGGAAACTGCCATTCCTAGACCCCAGGAACAGAACGTTTAGTTAGTATCACTTCCCTTCTGAAAGGAGAACAGGTGTTTGTCTCCTTTTTGCATGCCAGGATCAACCAGCATGTGGGCTCAAAAGTATGGGACTACCTTACCAGGTAAGACCTGAAAACTGACTATCATAGTGAGAGGTATTTTCACAAGATCACTTTATAAATATCACCATGTGGTCTAAAGGCCAAAGCATGAACAGCAGCTCCCGTTCCCTTTGTCCAGGTTCAGGCAGGGTGAATTTACAGGTTGGAGGAGAACCACTGTGGGGAAAGCATTCACCTGAATGTTCTCTACATGCCAGGTTCTACAACACGTGTTGGGAATGATGGAAAAGGACCTGGCAAAGCCCCACAGTGCACCACTACAAGTAGAAATACACAGCTTAACAATTAAAATAACAATAAAAATGCAAAACAAATTCATGTGTTCAAGACTTCAGGTATATAATCCCCTAAATGATCCTGCATGCTTAATTACCTCTTTGTATTATTTGACTCAGAGAAAAATGCAAAATTGAAACTGGCATTGTGTAGAATTATGTATGACACTTTGTGCTAAGAAAGCAATTAACTGAACCTACTTCAAAAGTCATTTCGAGGAGGTTTTTGGGAATCTGCATTACTCCCGTGTCTCCTAATTCTCCTGATACACAGATCCAAGGGTTCGATGTGATGATCGCGTTGCTCAGCTTTTTGATGGGAATGATCACTGACCTATATGGAATCACTGAAAGAAAAATGCTGAAATTAATACAAAATTACAATGAAGTTCTCCTGAAGAAAACAAATATATATTCAGAATTCTGTTGGCTTTCACAGATAATTTGCTTTTTAATGATCTATCAAGATGTACTTAAGCAACAGGATGAGATCATAACCTCCTCTAGTCTAGAAAGATGAGGTCTGGTTTATAAGCCACAAGTCCCAATACGTCTACTAGTTTCCATACTTATACATCATTATGTATACATGGCATTGTTGTTGTTCAGTTGCTAAATTCTATCTGACTCTTTGCAACCCCCATGGACTGCAGCACACCAGGCTCCTCTGTCCTTCACTATTACCTGGAGTTTGCTCAAATTCTTATACATTGAGTCAGTGATAACTATCTAACCATCTCAACTTCTGTTGCCCTCTTATCCTTTTGCCTTCAATCTTTCTCAGTATCAGGGTCTTTTTCAATGAGTTGGCTATTCGCATGATGTGGCCAAAGCATTGGAGCTTCAGCTGCAGCAACAGTCCTTTCAATAAATATTCAGGGTTGGTTCCTTTTAGGATTGACTGATTTGATCTCCATGCAGTCCAAGGGACTCTCAAGAGTCTTTTCCAGCACCACAATTTGAAAGCACCAATTCTTCAGCACTCAGCCTTCTTATGGTCCAACTCTCATACGCATAACATGGCATACTTATCATCAGCACTACATTTTATAAACAACGTCAGGCATTAGCACCAGAATACCTGAGGACATAAACAGTGACGGTGTAGTAGTTTCATTGCTTTGATGTTTTTATTCATTTTGTTCCAAAATGGAGTACAAATGAGCATGGTTACTGGCATGGTTTCATATAAAGAAGGTGGTAGGTGACTACTTGCATAGTATCTGCTTGTTGCTGATTTTCTTGGGCAATGCTTCACAACACTGCACTTCAGAACTTTCTCATCCCAGTGTTAACAGTCCAATATGCAAAGCCAATAATAAACAACAGTACCTCCATTCTAGTTGTAATATGAAGTCTACTAGCTACAACTTGGAAAGTGGGGTCTAGGGCAAGAGGTGCCTCAGGGAGAGAATCAGGATGCAGAAAGGAATCTGTGTGAAATCGTTCCCTTTGAAGGCTCTTCAAAGGCAGGCCACTAGATGTCACTGGCCAAACACCATCCTTTGCTCAAATGTGGAAACCACAGGCATTCCACATACCTCCCTTTCCTTGAAAAAATGAGGACTGCTCAAACACATTAGCATATTTTTATCCCTCAGAGCCATACTTTTTTTTAAAAAAGCAGGCTAGAATCAATATTTTGGTTGGTATACTCTTTATCCAGTCACAAGAGAACTATTAAAAAGTCCTCTTTGAAAGAACTACACGTAGGATTAAAAACAGTCACTGGACAAGGGGCTCAGATACTGCCTCACAACAGGGGTTCATGTTTCAGGGTGCTCTTAGATGAGCAAAATGAAGGGGATAAATGGTTCATTTCTCTAATTTTACATAGAGGACTTTCTTTCTGTTGACTGAATAAACCCTCTTTCTGTTCTTTCATTTTGGCTGAAGGAAAGGAAAATGTCAGAGAAAAAGGCCATATTTTCATGGCTTAATAATCATGAGAATCAAACGATTTTTGAAACTGAAAGCAGAAGAGGTTAGTGCAAGATGTTATTTTAGGTGCCAGAGGCTACTTATTTCTTTCACTGACAGGATTAGAAAAGCTGCAGAAAAAGGCTTGTTTAGGGTCAGCAGTTCTGTTGGCTGCAAAGGGCTCACAGATACACAACAATGATTTCATAAAGCAGAAAAAGAGTAGTATTATTAAACTCAGAATATTTATTTCATGAAGTATTTCAATTCCCTAGTTGTAAGAGTTACACGGGTAAAGAGAAATCTGCAGATATGGGGAGGAGCTTAGGAGTCCTAACTCCCTCTGCAATTTCTTCTCTTTCAAAATTGTATATAACACCTTAGCTTCTAATTAACTAACACTATCTTGACAGATATTACAGCTTAGCCTAATAACCATTCTAACTCCATTTTCCTTGTCTGCCTCTACCAGAGCCTTAGAAGACCAAAACCTGCCCAGTGAACTCTGCCCAGTGAAATACTGGTTATATTTATTGAAATTTCTTAGAAAACTATGTTTTTCCGGCACAGATTCTGATCCCTCTTCCTTGGCACTGCTTCCTTCTTCAGGCTGGAGGGTAGACTGAGAACAGCCATCTTGTGACCATGAGGTAGGTGATTAGCACACACTGACTACTGTCACAGAGCTTGGGTCCGTGATAGCACTGCAGACTGCCTACCTCAAGACTTCTCACTGTGTAAGAAAAACAAAACTATCGATTTGTTTAAACCATTGTTTTCTGATATTTGCAACTGAAAATAACTCCTAACTGATACAAGTAAAAATTCTCCAAAGTAGGGGAGGGGACCAATGCAACAGAATAAATGCGATAATTTAGTTTATCAAAAACACATCTGTGTCTGACTCTTTTTGACCCCCATGGACTGTAGCATGTCAGGTTTCCCTGTCCTTCACTATCTCCCAGAGTTTGCTCAAATTCATGTCTATTAGCATTCAGAATCAGTGAAGCTATTTAACCACCACATCCTCATTTTGCTTTTGACTTCAATCTTTCCCAGCATCAGGGTCTTTTCCAATGAGCTGACTCTGCATCAAGTGGCCAAAGTACTGGAGTTTCAACTTCAGTATTAGTCCTCGCAGTGAATATTCAAGGCCAATTTCCTTTATATTAACTGGTTTGATCTCCTTGCAGTCCAAGGGACTCTCAAGAGTCTTCTTAACACCACAATTTGAAAGCATCAGTTCCTTGGTGCTCAGTCTTCTTTAAGGTCCAACTCTCACATCTATACATGACTACTGGAAAAACCATAGCTTTGAGTATACGGACCTTTGTCAGAAGAGTGATGTCTCTGCTTTTGAATACGCTGTCTACATTTGTCATAGCTCTCCTTCCATGGAGCAAGCACTTTAATTTCATGGCTGTATTCACTGTTCTGTGATTTTGGAACCCAAGAAAATAAAATCTGTCATTGCTTCCATTTTTCCCCCTTGTATTTGCCATGAAGTGATGGGACTAGATGCCATGATTTTAGTTTTTTGAATGCTGAGGTTTAAGACAGCTTTTTCACTCTCCTCTTTCACCTTCATCAAGAGGTTCTTTAGATTAACTTTACTTTCTGCCATTAGAGTGGTATCATCTGCATATCTGAGTTTATTGATATTTCTCCTGGCAATCTTGATTCCAGCTTATTCATCCAGTCAGACATTAACTTCCATACAAGAAGTTATAGAAGTTAAATAAATAGGGTGACAATTTACCACCTTGTCTTACTTCTTCCCAATTTTAAACCAGTCAGTTGTTCCATGTAAGTTTCTAACTGTTGCTTCTTGAGCCACATACAGGTTTCTCAGGAGACAAGTAAGGTGGTCTGGCCTTCCCATCTCTTGAAGAATTTTCCACAGTTTGTTGTGATCCACACAAAAGCTTTAGTGTAGTCAGTGAAGCAGAAGTAGATTTTTTTTTTTTAATTCCTTTGCTTTCTCTATAATCCAGCTTTCTCTATGGCAATTTGATCTCTGGTTCCTCTGCCTTTTCTAAACCCAGCTTGTACATCTAGAAGTTCGCAGTTCATGTACTGTTGAAGTGTCCCTTCACACTTGAAGGATTTTGAGCATCACCTTACTAGTATTCGAAATGAGTGCAATTGTATTCTTTGGCACTGCTATTCTTTGGGGTTGGAATGAACATGGACCTTTTCCAGTTTTGTGGCTGCTACAGAATTTTTTGAATCTGTTGGCATATTGAATGCAGCACTTTCAAAGCATCATCCTTTAGGATCCAAAATAGCTCAGCTGGAATTCCGTCACCTCCACTAGCTTGATTTGTAGTCACATTTCCTAAGGCCCACTTGATTTCACACTCCAGGTTGTCTGGCTCTAGGTAAGTGACCACACCATCGTGGTTATCTGGGTCATTAACATCTGCAACATTCAGCAAGATTCTGAAGTCTTTCTGAATCATCAAAGTTTAATATGAGTTCAGTTCAGTTGCTTAGTCCTGTCCAACTCTTTGCAACCTCATGGACTGCAGCACACCAGGCTTCCCTGTCCCTGGAGCTTGTTCAAACTCATGTCCATCGAGTTGGTGGTGCCATCCAACCATTTCATCCTCTGTCGTCCCTTTTTCCTCCTGCCTTCAATCTTTCCCAGCACTAGGGTCTTTTCCAGTGAGTCAGTTCTTCACAACAAGTGGCCAAAGTATTGAGTTTCAGCTTTAGCATCAGTCCTTCCGATGAATATTCAGGACTGATTTCCTTTAGGGTTGACTGGTTTGATCTCCTTGCAGTCCCAGGGACTCTCAAGAGTCTTCACCACAGTCCTAAAGCATCAATTCAGTGCTCAGCTTTCTCTATGGTCCAACTTGCATATCCACACAGGACCACTGGAAAAACCATAGCTTTGACTGACAGACCTTTGTTGGCAAAGTAATATCTCTGCTTTTTAATATGCTGTCTAGGTTGGTAATAGCTTTTCTTCAAGGAGCAAGCATCTTTTAATTTCATGGCTGTTCAGTTACATGTTTATTATTATCATATACTGATTCTTTGAATTTATCGGTTTCAGATAAGACACTGCAATGTTTGCTCAATAAACGATTCCTCTTCACATCCACCCCATTTCCTACCGCAGGATGGGTTTCTTTGGTAAGCAGACTCTGAGCAGAAATTAGCATGAAGAATGCTGCTTCTGGGTTCAACATGTGAGGAAGAAAGGGTGGGCTGAGGCAGAAACTGAGCTCTGATGTGGTGAGTCCTCAGCTGATACCACAATGAGTTCTGGGGCAGCCCAGGGATCAGGCAGGGATCCTGACTGGCTTTAGTAGGACAGACAGCCTCAGGGAAGGTCGTTTTCTTTGGTGAGACATTCCCCAAACAGCTGAGGGTTGTCTTCAGGAGGTGGGGCTGCTGGGGCATAACCTTTATTGCTAAATGGAGATGGGGTAGGGCAAGGAGGGTGGGGGGGAGGGGTGGATGTTACAGTGTCTGCCTCACTGAACTGTGGTATGTCTCACTTTTAAAAATATAAACTCTTATTCCATTAGTCATCTGAGCAGCACTTCACTTAACATTCACTTCTCCAGACTTACTGATAGTGGTGAAGACACTGGTGAAGCAGAAATAGTCCACAGCATTGAGGGAAAGAAGATGGTAAAGAAATTGTTCTCTTTCTTCTTCACAACGGAGAAAAGCATAACGTTTATAAAGTTTCCTAGGAAAGGATAAGACAAACACAAAGTAATAGTATAGTGTATTTTTTCTTATGTCTTCCGCTAAAAAAATACTTCCTCTTAGACAAACTATGAGTAGAAACTTCAATCTAGAAAGAACAATTCATAAAAATGAATGTATATACATTAATATTTTAACCTACTTAGTAATTAAAGAAACAACCTCCTGTGAATTCATTTTGTCTATCAAAGTAATAGATTTAAAATTAATGATCAGTGCTGATGGGGGTGTGGGGGGTGGCAGTGAATAATAGAAAGTTACAATCTTCTGAAAATTTCAGAAAAGCAATTTGTTGGTAGTATTTAAGTAATTAAAAAATAATTATTCTGTGACTTATTCATTTTATTTTAAGGACTCAGTCCTAAGGATATAATATGAAATGGCAAAGATTTACTCACAAATGTCCACTTGAATATTATTTGTAAAAAATAAAAAATACTGAGTTGGCCAAAAAGTTCATTCAGGTTTTTCCAAAGGATGGTACAGAAAAACCAAACTTTTTGGCTAACCCAATATATCATAGTATACTAATTTAAAATAAAGTTTAGGACTTTCCTAGTGATACAATGGATAAGAATCCACCTGCCAACGCAGGGAACAGAGCTTCAATCCCTGGGTCTGAGAAGATATCACATGTTACGGCACAACTAAGCCCAGGCGCCACAACTACTGAGCCTGAGCTCTAGAGCCTGCAAGCCGCAACAAGAGAAGCAACAGCAGGGAGAAGCCCATGCACCCCAACTGCAGAGTAGCCCCCTGCTCATGGCAACTAGAGAAAGCCAGCATGCAGGAGGAAGACTCAGTGCAGCTAAAAACAAATTGTTAAAAATTTGTTAAAAAAATAAAGTTTAAGAAGAGTTTTAACAATAACAAAACTACTACTCCTCACATCTGCTATTAATAGCCTATGGTGGATTTTTTTTTCTCATCCCATGGCTGAAGGACACTGCATTCACTAAAGATAAATTTTTAAAAATATTGACTAGTTATAATCATCTATATTATAGCATTTGGAAGATATCTTTCTGGAAAATTTAAACCACTCTGTGTTTCAGATGTTTCATTTCAAATAAGGATTGAATTTTAACTGAGTAAGAAAAAAACTACTGCTCCCTAAAACAGTAACTTTTTATTAAGCACTTACATTTAAGCATTTCCCAAGTATTTCATAGTTATTAATATATCTAGTCCTTGTGATCACAGGAGAGGTAAGTCTATTAGCATTCTCCTTTTATAGATAAGGAAAAGTGATAAAATGAAGTTAAGGATCTTGCCTAAGGCCATTCAAATAGTGAACAGTAAAGGCAGTATTTGAACACAGCCATTCAGATTTCAGAGACTTTATGACATATAAAATGTTATGATATAATATTAACCTGAAAAAAGGGTGAGCTGAATTGCAAATACAGTATAATCTTAACTAAAAGAACATGCATAGAAGAAAGTACAATAGAAAACATGTAAGATACTTAGTAGTTACCTTTATGTAGTAAGATTTTTAAACGATTATCATTTTCTGCTTTGTACTTTGGCCACAAAGGGCAGAAGACTTATCAGCAGGGATAAGGTGTGGGGAGTGTACTCAGTTTTAAGAGGAGAAGGTCAGGTGTACTTCACGTCAGGTACTCTTTATCTAACCCATTCTTTGGATATTAAGACTCATCCTAAAATGCTCCAAGGGGTAACTAACTCCAATCACAAAAATAATTGGGTTATGGTGGGATTCCAAAACTGTCGTGTTTGAGGTCTTTGCTGAACTTTTGCATGCCTTTGCTCTAGAGAACCCCAAAACCCTTAATTTTCAAATTAATTCTACTATACATATTATCTGGATGATGCATTTCATCCAAGCTTTCTGATGGAGTAAAGGGAATCAATCAAAACAGTTAATAATTAACTAATATGCACTTGACTGGTTTACTGACTCTACACTACTAAATGTAAGTACTGGTAAGACTCTCAGAGAAGCTCTTTACTGTGGACCCTTTAATTTTTTTGCTACTCCTGGTTTTGTTGTGATCTTCACAATGTGATACAAGGTTTACATAAATTCAACCCATCTTTTGGATATTTCCCTTGTGGTTCAGCTGGTAAAGCGTCCCTGTGGCTCAGCTGGTAAAGAATCCGCCTGCAATGTGGGAAAACTGGGTTCAATCCCTTGGTTGGGAAGATCCCCTGGAGAAGGGAAAGACTACCCATTCCAGTATTTGGTCTGGAGAATTCCATGGACTGTATAGTCCATGGGGTCGCAGAGAGTTGGACACGACTGAGTGACTTTCACTTTTTGGATGTTACCATCAACCTGTGGGACTACTCAGCTTTTTTTTTTCTGAAAAAGGTAGCACCATCTGCCTCTGGCTATGAAATCTGTACCCTCCCATATATAATCAAATAGAAGGTCCTGACACAGAGTTTCTGAAACATGTGCCTGTTAGAAAGGAAGAGAGCATGTGCACAGGAGTGAACAGCTCATGCTGAAGAAGGCAGTCTGTCAGTCTATGCAGTTTATTTCGTAAGCACACAGATCACGGAAACAGAAATTCCTCGAGGCCACCTCTTACTTTGTGAGCAGCTGATTAGAGAGCAACTGCTTGAGATGCTGGGACAAGAGCTTCTTTTCTAGAGACAATCTTATCCATGCTCGAGCTCGTCCGACATCAGTCTTGATCTCACTCATGTTTTGAATATGCCTAAAGAACAGTAAAACAGCAAAGATATAAATCCTAAGGTTAACCTTGAACTGGAAAATAACTGAAGAATTACAGCACTTTGCACAGAAAAGTTGTTTTCTACTTAGAGGAAACAATAGGCCACACACCATTTATGCTGATTAAACTTCAAGTATCCCATCTGAATCATGAAATTAGTCCCACATCAGAATTACCATTACAATATGACCATATAGACAATATCCTAAGATAAAGCATTTAACACTCATTTACTCTTTCAGGTTTTATTTTGTTCTTGTTTCATGCTTGCAGATACATATAAACTGGCAATTGGTTGTCCCTGACCCTCAGAAAAATAAAATAAAACAGGCTGAATATTCATGCTCTTACTCAAAATAATTGTTCTACAATTTAATTAAGTCTCTACTACAACTTTAATTCACTGAATCATTTTTCAAATTGCCCTGACAACATCTGGAAAATATGAAATTCCATTTTCTATGGCATTAGAAGAAAAGCTGTATTATACTAATAAATTCAAAATTCTTAAAAATTTGAAAAACTTAGGATACTGTGTGGCCACAAACAAATTGTGTGATCAACCTCCAAATGAATGTTACATATATGTATAAATTAGTATTCTATTTTGAAGTTGATGCTATGCCCAGCAGGACTGAATTAATCTTCCTAAATGATACCCCTCCTAGGGGGAAAGAAGGATTGAGCAGGAAGGACAAACCTAAGGGACAGGGTAATTATAGAAACAGTACAATGAGTCACTGAAAAGTTTTTGTGATTGTGACCCACCATCCTTTCCTTTGATTTTTTTTTTTTAAAGTATAGAATGACTTATCTCAGCTGTAATAAATATTGCAGACTCTTAGATGATTCCAGCATTCGGAATAAGGAATAGCCTCCTTGTAAAACACATCTCCCCCTGCCCAGTTATACTGAGATATAATTGACATACAACATATAAGGTACACAACATAATGATTTGACTTATATAGATTATGAAATGATGATCACAATAGGTTTAGTAAACATCTACCATTTCTTATAGACACATTAAAGACAGTTTTTTTCCTTGTGATTAGAACTTTTACGATTTACTCTTAACAACTTTGACTTACATTGTATAGCAGTGTTATCTTGTCACGTTGCACAACACATTATATCCCTACTAAGTACTTAAAACTCAGAGTTCACACTTTTTGACTGCCTTCAGATGATCTCCTTCCAACCCACCTTGGCCTCTGGTGATCACAAACCTGATCTCTTTTTCTATGAACTTGTCTGTTTCTGCAGTGTAACTGACCCACAATACTATGTTAGTTCCTGTTACACAACAGTGATTTGATTTCTATACATTTCAAAAAGATCACTATAAGTCTAGCTGTCATCTGTCACCGTACAACAGTATTACATAGTTATTGTCTATATACCCCACACTACATTTCATACCTGTGATTAATTTATTTTGTTAACTGAAAGTTAGTACCTCAATCTCCCTCATTTATTTCTCTCCTCTCCCCAAGCCCCTTCCCTCTTAGCAACCACCTGTTTTCTGTATCTATGACTGATTATGTTTGTTCATTTGTTTTCTTTTTTAGATTCTACATATAAGTGCTATCACGTAGGATTTCTCTTCACTTAGCATAATGCTCTCTAGGTCCATCCATGTTATAATACACACATTCTTACTTCTGTCCTTCCCTCCTTCTCTCGCAATCCCTGGATGTAAGATTTAGCCTCTCAATCCAGGGCACTGACATATGATCGATTACTTTTTAAAAATTCCTATTTGCTGGTTTAATGACAGGGGACTGAGGTGGGGCATCCCACCTACTGCTTGGTTTCCAGTGGGAGGACATTCGAGGGGGGACACTTGAGGAAGCCAAGACATGGGGGGGGGGCGGGTGCTGGGCAGCTTGGAAGTTCTTTCCAGGGGCGACCAGGAATATCGAATGGCACTGAGGCTGGTGGTGCAGAAGTAACTGGGCCTTCCTCCTGAGTTCCGAGGAGCCTGCTGATAGCCATGGCCCACTGAGGTCTCTCACTGCCCCCCAAATGGACCTCTAACTCCAGTCATCTGGAAAGAGCCAGGACAGACGAACAGCCACTCTTTTTCCTTCCACTGGGACTCAGTTTTGTGGACAGAAGCTGGCTCACTGGTCGCTGGGGATGGTCACAGTGTGATTCTCCAGCACTCGTGGTTGAAGAATGTAACCGGGCCGAAGGCAGCCATGGCACAGCATGGCCAGAGCCCAGAACCAGTATTGTAAGGCTGAGGGTTATGGTCCCAAAGTCCTCCTGAAATGGGGTCTGACAGTGGGAAGGACAGAGAGACAGGCCAGTAGGCTGGGGTGGGGACCAGGTGCTCAGTGCTCAGAGCATGTGGTGTTCACCCACTTGTCAGTCCCTTTGTACTGGAAACCCACTTGTCAGTCCCTTTGTACTGGAAGCCCACTTTCTTCATCAGCTCATCGGCTTCTGTGGGGCCTGGGCTACCACAGATGTAGGGGATGGGCTGGGGAATCTCACGATCGATCTGGTGCAGCAGTGGGGTAAAGATGTGCCCGGCCTGCTGGAGCTCGTCACTGTGCACAAAGTGCATCTGGCTTCCACTGAAGACGTCCAGGATGAGGCGTGCTCATATGCATCAGGGAACTTCACGTTCTTGTATTTGTTCCTGGAGGTCAGGTCTAGCTCTGACTCCTCAGGGTTGAAGAACATGCCAGGCTTCTTAGTCATCACCTTGGCATACACGGCATCCTTGGACTGCACACGGATTACCAGTTCATTGTGTTTGCATTGCTGCTAGAAGATGTCACCAGCCACGTTTAGGAACTACAGACACACCTCAGTCTTGTGCTAATTCAGGGCTCTGCCCCAGCACAGTATGAAGGGCAGCCCGTCCCACCTCTCATTCCCCACGGAGAATATAAAAGCCGCAAAGGTGTCAGTGGTGGACCCACGGGGCACCCTGAGGTCCTCCGGTATCCTCTGGTGGCCTCACCTTCTTCGGTGGGGTTCTCCATATATTGGCTCAGGACCACATTGCTCACCTGCACCTCTGAGATACATTTCAACACCTTGACTTTATCATCACGGATGTCATCTGAATTGGTGGAGGCGGGCTTCTCCATGGCCACCAGACACAGGATCTGGAGGAGGGGATTTTGCATCACCTCCCAGATGATCCCAAATTCACTGAAGTAGCTCCACCGGCCTTCAGTGCCAAATGGCTCCTTGAAGGCTCCATGCAGGCAATGTTTTCACAGTTCCAGATGGGGCCTGAAGATCCTGTTGACAAAACCTCAGCACCATGAGGTTCTGGACCACCTCCTTGCCCAGGTAGTGGTCGATGCAGTAGATCTGGTTCTCACAAAACAGGGAGGATGCATGGTCAAACTGCTGGTTGGAAATCTGTAGGTCCCTCCCAAAGAGCTTCTCCATGATGATACGGTTCTGTCTGGCTCACGCAGGTGTCATGGATATTCTTGGTGACGGTCCCATAGCCGCTGGGGGACAAGGCCAGGTAGAAGAGGCATTGGCTTGCGGGCCCTGGTGGAGGGCGTTCATGCCAGTGTTGAGGCGCTCCTAGGAAGCCATGTCATCATACTGGCTGGCCATGTAGGAGTTGTGGGCGAAGAACTCCTCCAGCTTGGGCTCCTTCTCTGGGGTAGCTTTGATGAATGGCTCGCTCTGCATGCGGATGTTGGCCACTGTGAAGTGGGAGTGGGTGTAGCCCACAATGAAGGTATCTTTCGGCAGAAACCATCCTGGAACAGCCACCAGATGGTGGGGTAGATCTTCCTCTTAAAGAGGATGTGTACATATGAAGATATATTGTCCCTGATTGATGGAAAGAACTGCTTTGGTATAGCTTTCCCACACTGTCCCACACGCCTGAGTCCGGCTCAGAGCCACCTGCTCTGCCACGATGCTCTCTGCGCTGGGTGCCTGGCTGCAGGTCACTTGCGGTCCCCAGTACTGCCCTTCCATGTCTGGGATGGCTTGTGAGTCCTCATGTGTTCACACATGTCCCTCCCTCCTTCCTCCTGTGGTTTGGTTTTCTCGTGTGCCCTGGGTGGAGGGTTCCATATCTGCAGTGTGGTCATGTCCCTCGATCCCAGCTGTAGGCCAGCCTTCTTCAGCGCACCCCCCACCCCTTGCTAAGGTCACTTGCTCAGATCAAACCAGTCCTATTAGGCAGCCTCGTCATGGCTATTTCCCCAGCAGGGGCAGGGCAAGGGAGGCTGGCAGTTCTAGCTTCCCATCTGGGGCAGACTCCCTTGCGTCTGATCAAACCCTCTTGACAAACAGAATAAAATAAAGCATTATCACATCACACAAGAGGCTTAAAGAAGTGGCTGAAAAACACATCAGAATAAGATAAAAGAAAATTCTGTTGCCATTTTCGTGTTAACCAACCCCACCTCACCTCTAACAATTTTTTTCAGAAATTATGACAGACTTAATTTATCTTTAAAGGGCTAAGACCATTACATGTGGTCACAAATGAAGAAAATTGGGGTCAGGCAAGCCCCATTTACACCCTGATTATGGTGGTGGTAGCAGTGGTGGGCACTGGACAACCCACGTGGGCACAGCCAATATGAGCCTAGGAAAAAGCACTGGCTGTTCCTCAACCCTGACATTGCCCAGATGAAACAGCTGACTAACAGCAACACTGGGAAAAGCTCAGGTATGTACCACTTAAAGTTCCACAGTACTTACAAGGTCCCCCCATGAGCTCAGTGCCAGATAAGAGCTCACATGATCCAGGAATACCACATTGTCAAAGTGTATCCACCCAAAATGAATCTACATGAAGTTTGGTAAGTACTTATGTTGTATAATCTTTCCCTAAATATTCTTACTGCTCTAACATAGTAAAATCTACTGAAATTAGTTTTATGCTGGCCTTAAACTGGAGACATAATAGATCAAGAATGTCAAAATGGGATATAATACTTTGAAAAACAATGTATGGTTAAGGAAAATGGGCAGAATTG